AATTCTGGGAGTTGAAGTCCACTCATCTTAAAGTGGTCAAGTTTGGACAACACTGCTCTAAACCAAAAGGAACAGTGTGTGCCTAGTGATTCTGTTCATCCAGCAAATGGTCTCCCTCTTCCCGCCCAGAGCTCATGCCCTCAACTTGAAGAAGCAAGTTTTTTAAAAAAGTCTGTGGAAGAAGATACATGGCTTTTCTTTCTTTCTTTTTTAATTTTTATTATGTTGTTATAAATCTTGATACATTGTATTATGTCAACACAGTGATGTTTATATGATTCAAGATGACACATGGCTTTTATTGACAACTGACAACTTTTTACAGGAAGCAGCAGCCTCAGTCTGTATAACGGCACGTATTACCCTTTTGTAGCAAAATAAATAAATAAATACAATCTCACACATATATGTGGCTTGATGTTGAACACCGCTCCAAATTCACTATAAATTTTCATAAATCTGCTTTGCTACTATGCATCTGAACTATACACGCACTTCTATGTGAAGTAATACGGAGTGCAAAGTAACGGGGATACTGGGTGGGTTTTTCAACTGAAAAACTGTAACATTTCTCAAAAGGGAATTCAGTAACAATGCCTCATTTATGACATCTGTTTCACTCTACTTCCAAATAACTTGAGGGAATATGTATCCTTCCCTGAATACCACAATATCCCCATGCACATTTTTTATGAAAAAAAAAAAATCATTGGCTTTGTGGCAGAGTAAGACTTGGAATCTGGTGGGGAAGGATTTCGCATCATCACACAGGGGATGGGCCACCTGCCATTTTGATCAAAAGCCGTCCATGAGATACAAACTTTTACAAGATGGTTCTTCTCATAATTGTCCATTTCACAAAAGGCACTGGTGTGCATAAAGGGAAAGGTGAGTGCACACACACAGGACAGGCCCACAGAAATGGAGGATTCTGGCAGTACACCAATCAACTTTGGATTCTGCCCTATCCAGTGCTAATTTCTGGTTTCTCACCATTTGCAATCACCCACAGTAGATTACTCCTTCCCAAAAACTGCAATCTACAATAAGAACAGCAACAACAAAGTCTCCTAAGACATTTAGCACTATGTCATCATTGTTATGATGTTAGCATTGTATCTCCAGAATCCCTTTTTCCATTCTCTAGATAAATTCTAGACAAATTTCCAGAATTCACAAGAAGCATGACCCATGGTGTCCATGCTGTGACCCAAAAGCAGCAACTATGTCTTTTAGGTGGGTTACCACGGTCCTGTTGATGTACCGAAATTTCCTTCTGCGTAAGTATGTTAAACCATGAGGAATGATGAACTGAAGTGAGCTGATTCAGTAGCACTAAGATATGGCACTAATAGCACGAGATTTCAGCCTATCTCAGACGGTCTCAACAAACGCAATGGGTTCTTAACACATTACAATTGTTGAGAAGTTATTTGTAATCTGTTTCACATGTAATCTACATGACTACCCTGTCTTCCCTTCCTCTCACCTAATTCCAATTTAAATCCTATATCAGTTTAGTCACTCCATGCATCTGATAAAGTGAACTGCAGTACACAAAAGCTTATGTTTTTATTAAGAATTGTTAGTCTGAAAAGGTGCTCCCATGATCCTCCTGATGTTTGGCTTCCCTCTCTATGAAATCCTTTACAAAGCAACTATCCTTTTACAAATAAGCCAGAAATCCTAGGTTGGAATAATTTGGATGTGGCTGGTGTGAAATTATTTTTAATGTAAAAAGCACCTTTCTTTGACTGCAGTAAAAATGCTTTTTTCACAGGATCAGCGGCATTTAAAATTCTGAGAAATTATTTTGCCCAAAAGAATTAACACAAAAGGCCTTGGAAAACCCTACAATTAAAAATACATTTATTCCAATTTAGCCACCATTTATTAGTTACTGTAATGACTTTTTTATAATACATTAGCTTTGCTTGCACAAATATAGTTTTGAATATGGAGATAGAGCACAGCTGTTTAAAAGGTTGTATTTTTCATTAAGTTCAAGTACAATTTATATATTTCCAAGCGACTATTCTGTTTTTGGTTTGTGTTTATTATTTTTCTTTCTTGAAATATTATTTGTTAAAATGAATGTTATTTGTTTAACTACTATACCAAATACATATCTGCTATGTCATTTAACCTTGCAGGCTTGAATATTCTATGCACTGTATAAACTTAAATTAAAATCAATCCAGAAGAGTCCTAAGTATATGCCAGTATACCCCATATAGCTATAAAAATGGAGTGAACAACTGCAGATTATATATAAATGGTGAAAAACTACAGCAAGTAGCTGAATTTATTTAACTGGACTTGGATATCTTCAAGCCTGCCTTCTTCTAATTGTCTCTTCCTGTCTGATAAGATCAGACAAAAAGGGTCTTTTCAGGGGGAAGGGAAGGGAATGTCATCTTCTGGGACATCAGAAGTGAGCCTTTGGGGGAGGGAAAAACCCAAAATGTCAAGTTTTCCAAATATCCAGGAGAAAAAATAGACTTCCTTTTGTTGTTGTTGTTCAGTCGTTAAGTCGTGTCCGACTCTTCGTGACCCCATGAACCATATTGCGCCAGGCCTTCCTGTCCTTCACTGCCTCCCTGAGTTTGCTCAGTTTCATGCTCATACACTTCCTTATTGACACATTTCTTCCTTTACATTATGGTATAATATGGTTTGATTTTGGCTTAACACTGTGTGCTAACTAGGCCACTGGCTAGTTCAACAAACCACAGTTAAACATTTTGCTTTAGCACAGCATATGAACCAGGCCTAAGAGAAGCAGCTAATTCGGGTCACTGAATGGATGAAGCCACATTTGAATTGTTCCAGCTGTACCTGTAACTCAATCAAGTCCAATGTTCTTTCTCTGCGCCATTCCCTACACCAAGCCTAGAAGTGATACCGCATCCCTATTTTGCCCTTCTGTAAAAACCCTGGAATAATTGAGTGCAATGCTGAGCAGACTAAGGACATGTGCTTGAAGAAAAACCTACAACAGGAGATGATAGCGTATATTGGAAAGAATCACACAATTAAAAAATCAGTAACAATTCTACATTCTATATTCAAATGCCTTCTGATGTAGCAGAGCAACTCACACCAAATTCATCTAGCAAAACTCATCCAGTTTTGGACTTATTTCCTTGTAATGTCCCTGTAGGAAACCTTACACAGTGTAGCTTTGTGATAAGCTGAGCTCACTTAGTTAGCAATCTTCAGCACCCTGCAGAGTGCCATATCTCAAAAACCCTAAAAGAAGAAACTGTGACAGTTGAAAGAGATTGGATTTGTAGACCAGACAAAATGGATTATTTAAACAATGCTTACCATGGATTTTCTGAGCCTGTGGGTCATCCACACCGATAGCTATGACCTTCCAGTCAGTTTCTCCTTCATCAATAAGACCGAGAAGCCCAAGGGCCTTCACCTTAACAACCTCACCAAGCGTACGAACCTTAAAACATAGAAGATACTACACAATTTGTTGTTTCCTTTGATGTTATTTAAAGTTGAAAGTCAGCTGGAACAGAGTGAAAATTGGTTGAAGTAGGATGGGGAACAAAAGAAGAGGAAGAAAATTCTGGAGGAAGACATGGTTGGCTAACACCTTGAAGGAGAGCATTCTGATATCAAGGCTATACTGCAACATTTTCATTACAGGTGGGACTTTTCTAAAATAATGCTGTACCAAGATTTTATATTTCAGCTGAATCGTAGGAATAAAGGCTGAAGCTGCCATTCCCAAGCTAGAGAAGGTCACAATGTAAGCATATCTCAACTGCCTCAAGCTACCAAATGACCCACTGATCAGCCAGGCTTTAAATGCCCTATCATAGAAGTTGCTTACTCTTTGTGCTGTAGTGGAGAATCAAGTGAGCAATCAATCAGTATGAAGCTTCATTCTTGCCTACAATATTCTAATCTAGCCAAGTTGTTTCAAAGAGTTCCCCTGTCAACTTTAGCTGAGAAACGAAGTAAGGATTAAATATCTGGAGACCTTTGCCCAGTTGTGAAGCCAGACAACTAGCAACTTTCCTAGGCAAGCTTAACTCCATGTTAGGAAACAAATGATTGAAACAGCTAACATATGCTTCTGTAGTAATTTAGACAGACCTGGGCACCAATTTCACAGACATCAATGGGATCATTGTCACCACAGCATCCTGTATTATCATCCGTATGCCTGGGATCTTCCCAAGTCTGTAGGGGAGGAAAAAAGGAAAGAAATGCTACCATTTAAAGTTGGTTATTATTGCTTTGTTCATTTGTATAAATTATTGAAATTCTGAGAAGGGAGGGCCAGGCTCTTTATGTGTGCTACATAAGTAGCTATGATTTTCATTTAAAAATGATACACTACTATAACTAGTTTCTGCAAGAGTGGAAACCCTGTGGCCTTCCAGATGTTTCTGAACTACTATTCCTAGTATAACTGAACAATGGCCAAATTATTACTTTACACAGTAATAAAAAAGATAAAGACGCAAACGAGGCAGAACTACTCACTTGTTATTTTACTTCAGTCATCTTTTTAAAAAGAATAGGTGTTCCACCAGGCATTTGTTAATACCTGGTTTAAGCAAGAGAATTTCAACTTGAGCTTGACAGAAATATAGTCAGGGAATACCTACTGAGACTGAATAAGTACACATTTTCATGGCCCAATGGTCTGAGCAAACCTCTGCCTATTACCTTTAACAAATCTACAGAAGTGTGAAGTACCAGATTACTGGGGAAGGGCAAACGTTTTCCTATCTTTAGAAGGGGGGAAAAGGAAGACCTGAACTGATACAGACAATCAGTCTGAGATCAATATCTGGAAAAGTGAGAGCAGATTAACTGGCTCACCTGTAAACATTTGAAAATGTTTACCAAATGATTACCAAAGTCAGTTTTCAGTTTTGTCAAGAACTAAAGTTGTCAAACAAACCTCACGTCAGTTTTTGATCAGATAATCTCCTTCGTCGTTTGTGGGAATTCTGGGGACATAATATGTCTTCACGACAACAAAGCATGAGACAAAGTACCCCGTGACATTCTGGTAGGAGCTGGTTAAGTATGGGCTGAATAGGATGACAGTTAGGAGGCTGGCTTCAAAATCATCTTTGAACAGCACTCATTAAATTGGAAGGGAATATTGAGTGTGGTGTTCTGGGATCTGAGTACATTTTTATTAATGACTTAGATGAAGAAGTGGAGGAAGTGTTTTGGAAATCTGCAGAAGATTCACAACTGCATGGGACAGCCAATATCCTAGAAGTAAAAAATAAAATTCAAACTAATTTTGATAGATTAGAATAATGGGCTTAAAATAAGAGAACCAAACTTAACATACAAACGCAACATACTTCACGTAGAAACAAAACATCCAAGCCATATAGTCCAGGACAGGGAATACCTGGCTTGGCAAAAGAACTTGTGAAAAAAAAAAATGGAACTGTAGTTGGCAACCAACTGAGCATGATCCAGCAATGTGATGCAACTGGATAAACAGCAACTACACTACAGTATAGTTTCCACTTTGCAGAAAGGACTAGCTCCATTTTATTTTAAATTAGCCTGGCACCACCTCCAATCATGTGTCAGTCCTGGGCATAACATTTTTTAAAAAAAAATCAGAAAAACTGGAACAAATTCAGAAAACAACAATGAGAATGACCAGGGAAACTAAGTCATATGAGAAGAGTCTAATGCAGTGTTTCTCGACCTTGGCAGTCTGAAGAGGTGTGGACTTCAACTCCCAGAATTCCCCAGCCAGTGTGGACTTCAACTCCCAGAATTCCCCAGCCAGTGTGGACTTCAACTCCCAGAATTCCCCAGCCAGTGTGGACTTCAACTCCCAGAATTCCCCAGCCAGCCATGCTGGCTGGGGAATTCTGGGAGTTGAAGTCCACACTTCTTCAAGTTGCCAAGGTCAAGAAACATTGGTCTAATGGAACTGGGTATGTCTATATCTGAGAAAACACAAGGAGGGGGGTAGCACTTTTCAAATACTTGAATGGGTGTCTGAAAGGTTGTCACCCAGAGTACTGAGGCCAAAGTGCAGGAAAATTGATAACAGATTTAAGTCACAGGAAAGCAGATTCCAGTTAAATATTAGGAAAATCTATCTAACCGTAAACAGTTTACCAAGTGAAATGCTGAGCTCCCCTCTCCTGGATCTGATCAAGCAGAGACAGGACACCCATCTATCAGGAATATTTTAATCTGGTTCCTTGCACTGACCAGGAGGTTTGACTTGACCTAGGTGGATCCTTACAACTCTATGCTACTATAAGTTGTATTTCTAGAGAGCCCCAGATTCCATGTTCCCGGTATAGTAGTTGGAGCAGCCTTCATCAAATCTTGGCATCCTCTGGATATAGCAGGACTACAACTCCCAGAAGTGTGCACTACTTGGAAATTCTGAGAACTGCAGACCCCATACATCTGGAAAAGGTGCCAACACTGGGGACCTACCAACTTTCAGATTCAAATCCCGATTCAATCTCAAATTATTGAGTCGCTCTGATAATAAAATTAGGAGTGAAGCTCAAGAAGGCTAAAGAACCCATAAGAAATCATTTCCTTTTTTACATTCTTTCTTATCTGCCAAAAAATTGGCCTATACTACAAATGCATCTTGCAAAAAATACTCTGGACTGAATCTAGTTAATACCCAAAGTTTTCTTTTCCCATCTGGATAATGAGACAGCAACACACTGAAATATATGCTCTGCTTTTGACCCAATTCTATTTAAAATTCAGTGTTGCAGAATATCCTCCCATTTCCATTACCAAATTTAAAACCATACCAATGTCAATATTTTCCACACCTATTCTGCACTCTTAAAATACATAGGATATATGAAGAGACATAACTGAGAAAAAAGCAGGGGAAAATTCTAATTTTCATAGATGAATAAATCCCAAAATGTTACCTGAGGGAAGGCCCCATAGTTCCAAATGTAGCCTTTATGGGGAAAAATGTTTGCCACGTATCGCAGCTTGCCTTCCTTTACATCTTGCTTAATAGGATTCAGTGGCTCCTTGGTGGCAATCTGAGTACAGTATGAAACAGAATGAAGAAAATTGGGGGAGATTATGAATAAATGGCTCAACTAATTATTCCTAGATTGAACAACTCAACACAATTCAAACGTTGTATTTCAATTTATAATTTACCTCATTTCTAAAAGTAGAGGATAAAAACCGAACACTTAAAAGATGTTTGCAGCATGGGGAAAAGAAAAAAAACACACAAGGATCTGCATGTGAGAATTTCTAATTACAGTGGTACCTCTAGTTACGAACTTAATCCGTTCCGTGACTCT